CAAATCGTTTGCTCTAGTAACGTCACGTTTGTCAAGGGTCATTAAGGGCTCTAGGAGATTAAGCAAAGCAGCGAGTAACCGGTAATTTGGATATTGGGTATTTAGGATTCAGACAGAGGAGGTACCAGGTCTTCTGTGCCTGGTTCTACATTAGCTCTCGCCTGAATTGATGTATGAATTCTGTAAGTGATTCTTCGGTCATCCAAGAACATCGGTAGGCCGTGTTCATTAGGTACATCTCATATCTCATAGGCTCACTCATGATAATGTCTTCCCGAGTTGTTGTTGGCCTTGTATTTGTAGCCGGTTTGATTGAACATATTCTATCTGATTGTCGCCGATTCAGTTGAGAGCAAACGTAGAGAAAACATGCGAGTTGGTCAGGGCTACATAGTAAGGCTTGTAACCTTGAACTGGTGTTTGATAAAAGATCTTCATGATGGTTTATTTGACTTGGGATAGCTATAGTAGCCGCCCGTCCCTGGGTATGCTAGTACTAGTATGCTATAGCCGTGGCAAGCGCATGTTCGGCACCATACTAAATACAGTAGTGACTTCCTCAAGTAGAAAGATATGCGGGGATTCACATATATAAAATACATACAGTATATCTAAGGCCCAATCCTTACCCTACACCTCTACAACGACGAGGAGTTGTCTGGTTAGCAAAGAGACAGTCTGGTTGAGCACAAGGGCACTTTGGGATAATATCAATAATCTTCATTCTTTCCCGATTCTCGATATAACCGTTGAATGTGGCGAATGCCAGTAGTTAAATCACTGCGCCACACACACGCGTGTGTCATCTCTCAGGCCACCAGTCTACGCCCGGGGTATCACTCTGAGAACCTTGCGGCAGGCAGGGTTCTTCTTTGAAACCTCATGCTCGTTACATGTATGGTGATGGATAAGGTAGGTATAACATCAAATAATTGCAATTGCGTCGCGCATCAAGGTGGCGGTGTGCATGCACGCAACAAAGTTAGGTAAAAAAGCTCACCGGGCCGGAGCCTCAATGTTTTATGTGAATTCACTCAACCACGCATTTAAAGGGGTGTGAAAGATTCCCGTTTGAAGTGCAGTGGGTTTCTACTGGTGTAACCGGCGTTTGGCCACGGGGAAAACGACGTATCATATAAACTGTATGTGTGTAAACAACACTTGCCGGTTTCGACTGGCAGGCAAGCGAAGAGTAGCAGATGGATGAGACGTTCAGAACAGAACAAAAGCGAGTGGCTCGCCCCGGACTGAAGTGGGGTTAGGTACCCGTTTTATGGGGTATACTAGTCTGGTTGGGGTATACATACTAAGTACATATTCTGCAAGAGGAGCCCTTGGACTTTCAGTGATTGGTGGTGGGGTATATAGTCACCATCACAAAGATATCGGTATCATCACGATCATCGGTATCATCATCGTCGTCACCTTTGACGACCGGCGTGCTAAAACGATTGGATTTCCACCCCCACATCTTTTTTTATTTTCTCACACATTCCTCAGGTACAGTTGTCTCAGGGCACAATATCGCATGTACAGTACTTCTCGGTCTAAATTATGAGCTTTCTTTCACAAGTACGCTATCTGGCATTCTAAACGACCATCTCCCTTAGTAGCAGGCATCTAACCATACCAATATATACAACAAACAAACAAACAAACAAACAAACAAGCCCTATTCGCCGTCTGCGACCCACACATATTCACTTTGTGACCCACAATGGTTCACAGCCCAAATCAAAAACAAAGTCTACTCCCACTATCATTCTTCCAACGCACTAGCTATCCTCGTCGACCATCACCGCCAGCACCTGAACTCCCTCCATCAGCGCAAACGACTCCAGAACCACCGGAGATACCGACGCTTGCGAGTTCAAGAGGTAAGCGAGAACAAGGGGTGTATGAGAAGAGCTATTATATTCCAGTGAACATTGACGAAACTGCTTCTGCTAGTGGTGTGGAATCGGTGGGAGGGAAGCACAGGAATTTATGCGTGAGGGCTATGGGCAATGGGAGTCCGGTAGGCAAGAAGGTTGTAAGTGTCAAGAGGAAGGGTCAGGAAATAGGGGAGGTGATTTCTGTGAAACAGGATTTCAGGATGGAAATAGAGGAGAGGAGATTCAGGTTGCAAATAGAGGAGAGGAGAGAGGCGGAGGAGAGAGAGAAGGATAAGAGGGAAAGACAACAGAGGAAGAGAGCGAAGAGGGAGAGGGTAGAATCCACTGAAAAGGGAAGAATTAAAAAGAGAAAGAGGACGGTGATTGAGATTCAAGACACGGATGCAGATGACGATGACCTGATTAGTCCTGTGGACTTTAGGAGGAGGGACTCAAATGCAACTGATTCTACAGGGACAATGTTAGGGGTGGGGACGTTACTTGGCTTGGAGAGCTTGGAGAATGTGGAGAGCTTGGAGAATGTGGAGATGATGGACTTAATGGATCTGGAGGACTCGGCAGATTCAGATTATGTTGAAGAGATCTCTAGAATTTCGTCAGAGCAAGAAGAGGAGGAAGATGAAGAGAAAAAAGAAGAAGAAAAGGAAGAGGAGGAGGGGGAGGAGGAAAACGCGGAAGAAGAAGAACCCATAAGGACATCCAACAGGAAGAAGATTCTTCTAGATTCCTCAGAATCCTCCCCTTCGCCTCTACGTTCTCCATCCCCGCCACGTGTATACAAGCCACAGATAAGGAGACCTATGATACGCATTCCCAAAGGAGAGCCAAAAACTCCAAGAAGAAAGTATGTGAACGGCCTTTATGAGTCGAGCGATTCCCGCTCCGTTTCTCCCAGTACCAGGCCGTTGACTCCCCGTGGAAGAAATCGACGAGTCTCACCGCATATCGTCGGCCCAAAATATAAGAAACAGTGCATCAAGGGCTCGGGAAACACCATTCCTCCCATCGACACGAAACCCACTTCTCCTTCTCGCTCTCACCATGAGTCAAAACCTTCTCAATCACCGGTCAATATAAGCCGCTGCCCTGTCTCCCAACCGCCTTGTCTACGGATGTCGCTTACAGGGAACGACAAAGACATATTTACGATCCCACTCTCCGAGGTACTTACACCTACGGAGCTAGAGATTGCAATTCAAAGCCACTTCCCGCAGCCCACCGATACATACATTAAACTCACGGATGAGAGGGGGGATATCATGAAATTAAGTTTCTGGAAGGGAGGGGTGTGGAAGGATGGGCTGAGGTTGAGGGTTGAGTATAGGGATAAAATCTCAGGAGGGTGTGGGAGAAGGACTTCTGCTGGGGCTGCACTTTGGTCCCCAACGACTACCGAGAAGTCGGCCAAGGCTGGAATTGTGGATGCTGGGGTGCAAACAGAGGAGGTGGAGGTTTATGGCATTGGGTGGGCGGAGAGGAGGGAAGCCGAAATAGTGGAGGAGCAAACAAAGCGGTTAAAAATGGAGGTAGAAAAGGAAATCGCGGCTAGGATAGCAGTGAGGGTAAAAGAGGAACGGGAATCTATGGAGCAAGAGCGAGATCGGGAGAGGGAGAAATTCCGAGAAGAGAAAGCGCGCATTCATCAACAACAAAAGCAGAGGGAGAAGGAAATTGAGGAATTGGGGCTCGAGTTGCAATTCGGCTCGCAGCCCCAAGTAAAAGAAGGCCCGCCATTGCTTTCAGTCAGCGCGCCGCCGAAGAGTGAGAAGCCGATGCCGACACCAAATACTACTGCAAATACTTCCAGGAATTCATCGACAGGTTTAGCTTCACCAACTAAAATTCAATTTGCGATGCTGTCTCTTTCACCTGCTGCAGTTAGACCTGGATCTCTACCCAATCAACGACAGTCTGCACAGGAGCAGAAGGCCTCGCCGAAGGAGTGGAACCCCAGTACGAATGCAGATACGGGCAGTGAATCAGGGTCAGACCTTTCACTTGATCTTAGCTGGAATATCCCAAAGGAGCAAGTAGCGTCAGCAGAGAAACAGAAATCGAAGTCGAAGTCGAAGTCGAAGCGTGGGAATACTGATAATACCCCAACCTCAGCTACAGGTGGATTGTGCAAGGAGGTTCCATCCTGGGTTTTAAAAAAGCAGAAGAGTAGGGAGTGTAGCCTAAGCTTAAATTCGATCCCGAAGAGAAGGATTGGTGTATCGCCTTCCACAGGATCAAATGCCCGTCCGGCATCCAACCAAAGTCAAGAGGAATTATCACTTTTTATTGGATCATCGCAACTGACGGATAGTTCTGTGGAGTCCAGTCCCAGATTGAGGACGCCTGTTGGTAATGAGCTGACCCCGCTGCAGGAGGTGACAGCATCAGTGACACCTACCAAGGAGTCGGCTATTAGGAAAGGAGGTACACCGATTTGTCTAGCGAGGAGATCAGGGAAAGCCGGTCTTGCGAGAGGAGGAGGGGTTCTTGGTAGTGTTGTTGGAGCTGGGCGTGGTGGTAGTAACGAAAGCACTCAAGCTGGAGAAGGGAAGGAAGGAAAGACCATATGCGAAGAATGGTACACATTAGGTAGGTGAGTTGCGCAGAGACCTGGGGAAATGGGAAACAAGAATTTTTTTCTAGCTTTGGTAGGGAACCCTGGGCGGCCTTGTACAAGTATGTTTATGGTTTTTTTTTGGGGGAGGGGAGTTTGGTTGATCGTTATGGATGGGTCTTGTTTATGAGTATATGGGTCCGAGATATTTTTTTTCATTCCGTTGCATTTGCTTTTTATTAAGAAATATCTGTCGGTGTTTTATTTTTATTTCATATTTTTATTATTTAAACACTATTTCCGTTCTCTTCCTTCCTCTTTCCCCAGACGCAGCAACAGATCTGGATGGTTTTCCACTTTCTTTTCAAGCTCTCACTTAGCAACGGGTACTAAGCTACATTCTATGTAAGTTGTTTTACTTCCTCTCTCTAGATCTAGATATTCTAGTTACCCTCAACAACAACCCAGCCGGGCTTTAACTCCATTATTAGACTAGGAAGCTTTGTGCAAAACAAGAAAAAAAAAACACATAAAGAAAAAAAAAACATAAAACACACCCCACGTGGGGCTCGAACCCACAACCTCAAGATTTAGCTTCAGAGAAAGCATATGTAGAAGTCTTGCGCGCTACCATTGCGCCAGCAGGGCGAAATCTCTGATAAATCCCGCATCGCACAAAACTCTTATATATACATAAAAAAAATTTTTTTTTTTTGGGGGCGCGTTTTTGGTCATCACGACAAGACAAACTTATAGAACTTTTTTAACAGCCGTTTTATACATATTTCATTTCCAGACCGGTCTTATGTTGTTTTTTTTTTTTTTTTTTTTTTGGTGTACTTTCGCGAGAAGGGTGTGGTGTAACCCAACCCGTCTCGTATGGTTGGAAGAGAAGAGTTTCCCAGCACACGAGGTCGGAGCATAGCTCTGTGTGTGGATTAGGTCTTTGGATTGTGTGGTTACACTTTCCGGATTGAAACAAAACAACCGAAAGTACCTTTTTACATGAGCCTCGGAAGAACAACCCACCGGCTTAGTCGAGGCCAACCTATCGGTACAAAATCCTCAATGTACTGGTCGCAGTAACTAATCTTATCAGTGCACATGTACGGTTCTGTAAAAAGAAGAGAACTTGAAGAGGAAGTACATCTCTAGCCTACTTCCCCACGACAGAGACCGTCCGATATAATAAAAACATTTATCGAAATCCATTCCAGCATACATAAAACTACCTGCTCTTATAAACAATAGGATATAGAATGAAAACCGTGGAGAGAAACCAGAATCCCAGCATTCGCACCCGAGTCCAAGCACCATCATTGTCATTAGCCATCTCCGCCGCGCAGCCAATGCGATACCCATATCCCCAGAAGATACTACATTACCTTCATACAAGAGCCCAGCCATAGGAAACAATCGGAACCATGAGGAAATTGAAAGAAAAGACGACAAAAAGCAAGATCTGAAGGTTACGCCGTGATCATATGGTTTTATATCCAAACCCCGGTCCGATAGAAAGGAAGATAAATAGAAGGAAGAGCAGTATCCAAAGGAACTCGATACATATACACACAATGTTTACGCCGGGTTGAACAGCATGGAATGGAAACAGGGTAATGAGGGAAGCAATCAGAAGCTAGAGAGCAAACATAATATATGCGATAAATGCAAGAGAGAACCGCACCATGAACGGAAGGGAAGATGTGGATGAACCCAAGAATTGTAAGAACGCCCCCATAAACCGAGACAGAAGGAGAACGTGGGTGTGAGGAATATACAAGAGAAAGCAATTGGGGGCTAGTAGATGGCGCGAGCGTTAGACTTTATACTTTTTCCATCTTGCCGAAGGTCTGCTGCCAATGCACCAGTTTCCTGGTCAAGGAGTCCATCATTTCAGTGCTGTGCACGGCTGTGATATCCATACTTGAAATCATTGATGCTTCCTGCTTCTCAACAGTGCCATTTATAGCTATTTGAGGAACTGCAGAGGTTGACGACACGTCCCTCATGGCTACTTCCTTAGTAACAGCTGTAGCGGGAGGTGAGGCTTTAGCCACTCGTGGAGAACTAGTATTAGACTTCACAATAAATGTTCTCGACCTGTCACTGGCCATCTCAAGCTGAGTTCTTTGGATGAACTCCATAATGGCATTGACCCGCTTGTTCATGTCGGTTATGCTGGCCTTGGGCGGTGGGATTCGAGGTTTCGAAGCCTTTTCGATGATTCCATTTGCTGCAATTGCCTCGTCCTTAGTGTTTACACTAGGGTTCTTGTCAAGGCCGTTCTGCGAAGCGTCCCGCACCATAACTGGGGATCCAATTACTTCGTGAGGATCCTCTGACTGACGATAGGAACTGCTTTTATTATTTCCTTTGCGGCGACCGTGATTGTTCGTTGCTCGATTGGTGCGTTTCGATTGTTGGGGGGTATCTGGGACAATGACCTCAGCAAAAGTGGGAGGAATTATTTCTTCCACAGGTGAAGTTGTACTGGTGGTCTTGCTGTTGCGGCCACTGGCTCTTGGGAATTCGTCTGAATGTTCAGAATCTATGTGATGCTTAGCTGCGAATATGGCGCGGAAAAGGAACGCAGTCGGCTTACCATCCTTCTTGGAGTCTTTTGACTTTTCAACGGCCTTACTTCTCGTGGTTGTCCGTTTGGATGAGGCAGATGGATTTGCAATATCTCGAGAGGTCCCATTGCGTCCCTTCTTACCCCCCGATTTGGAGCTCGTAGCCTTTTCGACTTTTTCATCCCCGGACTCTGCTGTGACGGACGTTGGCGTGTCGGAATCAGAAGTCCTTGCCCTCTTGTATTCTTTTGCTCTGCACCAGCAGTCAGTAGAGTGTTTTTAGAGGCATTTAATCAGTAGGCTATATACTCCTCTGATCCTTCACTACTTCCACGCTTACGTCCCCGAGTTCCATTTCGAGAGCTGGGAGCCTTTGCATCCGACTTGCTTTCTTCGAGCACACGCTGTAAGACAGCTTCGTCGTATGCTGCATCGAGGGAGTTCATTGTTGAGCGGCGCTTGGTAGAAGTCATGTCTTTATGGCTTTGAGATGACTCAATAGGGCTGGTTTCGACGTGAAGGGGCAAGTAGAGAGAGGTCTTTGGTCTGTTCAACAGTAAACGTTATCAGTTTGTTTTGTCTTCTATCGTGCTGCGAAGATTCGAGAAGTGGTCGTTTGAGGACAAGGAAAGTCAGGACTCACCCGTGTGGTCTAGCAACCAGCTTGTGGAAATTGGGTCGACATTGTTCGCAGAAGTAATTATCGGGGGCGAGAGCGTTGTCCGTGATTCCAACGCAAAATCCATGTTGCCAGACGTGGCACTTATCGCACTGGATGAACAATCCATCCGACGTGTCGGCCTGGTCGTCCTCGCCCTGGTATTCTTGAAACCCACAAATACACCTGGTAATCTCCTCGTCTTCCTGTGAGCCAGTCTCGTCCACATCATTGTCAGCTCCTTCCGTCTCATTGGCGTCCGCCATTGTTGATAGATTTCGGTGACGGGTGTCGAAGGCTGCCTCCTCTCTGTAGGAGGTTTCGTGATCAAGAGCTTCGTCGTGATGCCTGAGACGACTGGAGCTGGCACGAGTAGAAGAAGTCGAGGATGATGATGAGTGGTGCGCGAGCGCTGAAGCTGTAGGCCTCGCTCTAGATGAACGCCGTGGAGACATTGTTGCTTAGTTGGAGAGGAGGGGGGGGGGGGTTCTGAGTGTGTTCCCAGTTGGTTGCGTGCGTCGAAGGTTTGAACGGGTGATTGTCGAGGCGACCGTTAGAGGGGAATTCGAGCAATGCGGTGGTGAAGCATAGGGAGGACCTTGCCGTGAGTTGCTTGGGGAGGAGGAGTTGGAATGGGCTGCAGAATTGTAGGGAGAAGGAGGAGGGAAAAAGAGGAGGACGGCAGCAGCAGGGCAGCACTGTAGAGTGCGAGTGTGGGACCAAACCGAGAGAAGGGCGACCAGGACGACCGGGGGGGGGGGGTGCACAATAATGGCTTTTGGGGGGGGAGTGAGTTTCCTGTGGTGAGTTAAGCAAGTGACGAGTGAGAATGAAGAGTGTGTGGGCTGGTCTGGCTGCTCTGGCTGCTCCGGTTGCTGCTACCTGCTAACCTTACCGCAAGTAGCTCCATTATTATTTTGCGTTTGGATGGTGGGAAAAAAATAAGTAATGGCGGCTAGGATTCGCATGCCAACGCTAAGAACGTTGATTGAGTTGGGGGGCAGCTGGGCGAATTCGCGACCTTGTCCTTTCCGCCTCTTGAATATGTACGGCCCGCCCGCCTGTTGCTTCGCTCCCTCCTCCTTCCTGCTACCGTTCCTTCCTTCTCCCCCACCTCCCCCTCCCCCTCCGCCGATTCCCTCCCTACACGATGCGAGCACTCGCGGTTGTCGCGAGCATTTCCGGCCTCGATGTGTAGCTGCTGCAGCATCCAATGGACTGGTCACCCAGGGTTGGCCCAGCGGGCCTTTCTGGCTCTCGTTCCTGCTGCTAGATCCACTGTCGCGCGAGACCCGTCCAGCCCTTTAGTTATTCATCCGTCTGCACCGTTTCTAATCATAGCTCCACATGGAATCAGGTCAATTATCCTCCAGAACAGCTTCAATAAGCTGCAGAAAATACTCGGCTAGAGCCTTCTATCGCCCTCCGACATCACGCCTAGACAGGTAGCACTTGCGGGGATTGCATGCCTTTGAGCTGGCGGGGGAAAAGGGGAATGGCATTCGATGGAAATTCTTCAGTGCCTGACTATAGCGCACATCACTCTAAATCCCCTGTCGAGCCAGTGTGCAAAGGGACTGTTTTCACACTTGATTGCTTGCTTGCCTATCGTGGGATTGGACATTCGTACAGTACAATCGGGCAGCAGCAATTATCACACCGGCACTCTTCTGCACCGCCGGGCTCATTGATACACCTTGCAGTTGAGGTATTGACGAGGCGAGGAAACAAAGGCGGGGAATGTGCTAGAGTGAAGGGGTTGTGTAGGCCCCGAGCGTGTATATTAGTTATATCAGTATATATCAGTGTATATCTCCATGCCGGTGTGAAAGTGGTTGAGCTCGCTTTCCAGGTCTCAAGAGCTGGAGCTATAGGCCGTGTCAACTAAGTACGCTATTGCTGCGCACCGCAACGCTCCGCCTACTTTTGCGATCTCTCACTCAGCTACTTTACGGCCTCCCTGTGTTAGCAGTATACATCGAGAACAGAGCTGGCGTGGGCGGAGATTTGTATAGAGCACCGTTTGGGGGGAGCTTTCCTCAAGCCAGTTAGGATCGGCGGAGTGACCGCTCTGCCAACTTCACAGGTTGCTTCATGTATCCAAGACCCCTCCCCAACAGTTCAGTCGGTGCTAGGTAGTGCTTCGGCTCATTAAATTTTCCTGGCCTATACAATAGTCTGGAGGCCGCGAGACCCTGTGACGAGTGCAGAGCAGCTGCTGATGATTACCCCCGAGCACGTAAGCAGACCCTGTGCAACGCCTGAATCCGGGACCTCTTGCCCGCCGCTTGGTAACAGTGTAACGAAGAGGATGCAAAGATGCAAAGTCGAGACGGTGTTAGTACATGTCTGGTGCATGGGAATTAGGCACGACTCACAGAAGGCCCTTTGCCACAAGAACAACCTATTTGCATTGC